AGAAAAATAACACCCCCCAGTTTTATTGAGAAGTTTCCCACCACAGTCATGGTGGAAAAAGTTGTATCATCGGGGACGCCTCAAGCTAGCCCCGGAAAAACTATCCGCTCCCTCATCTACTTAGATGATGAAGTCATTGGTCATCTTCTACAGACAACTTGCGCATAGGAGATGTTGACTCGATTTTTCTTGTCCACAAATGTTTGTGTGCGAGACAGTGAGAAACGAGAATAGAGGCCGCCGACTTAAAAACCATTGGCCATGGTGAGATGATAAGGACCTGCAGAAGGTCGTTGACTAGATGAACTCCATACATGTATCATCTAGAAAAAATGTCACTCAATGATTTGATCATTGTCCCCATGTGTTTTGTTCGTTCATTAATTCGTCCTCACAAACAGAAACAATTATAGGCTGTTATTTTCGTTTTTTGAAGACTAATTACCCGAAGATGCGAGTGCACCACTTTCATTTGGCACTATGCAAGTGCACTACATGGTTTATGCTAGCATCCTATGTGACACCGGTAATTGGAACTGAGTCACTTATAAGAAAGGAGATGCTAGACAAAACCCCCCATTCACACAACAAATAAAACCATCTCTTTATTCTTCATAGGCAATCACTACTACAGCTCCACAATAAACAGTGAACCTAAATTTTCAGGGTGTTGATGAACCTCTTCCCTTGACGGAAATGTTCAAAGAGCCCAGCCACGAAATCCTTGGCCAACATTTTCCTATATCTTGGCGGTCGCTTGTCATCCAGCAAACCGGGCGCTGGCTCTAGCATCGTTTCTGCATCCACAGCGTAAAACACAGCCAAGGAAAGCCTATCCTTCTTGATGTTTGTCACCACTCTGTGAATTGGGCTTGTAAAGATTCCATTGTTCATTATCTGCGTCAAAGTTTTACATACAAGTCAATGAAGCATTAGGGTTCACGAGATAGGATATAACAACGACCGTTGTATATTAATCAAGAGAGTAAGTGTGTATGTAGCTTGTAGTCCTAACGCTTACTTCTAGGCAGTCTGCTAGGTTAATCAGCAATGTGTGAGGCTTGGCTGAAACGTTGTACCATCTCCCATCTCTCTGAACTTGCAGGCCACCGACGGTGTCATCATTGAAAAGGATGGTAAGGAGACCACCGTCGGAGTGAGCCCTGAGGCCCAAAACTAGGTCAGGCCTCGGACATGGAGGGTAGTAGTTGAATCTAGCAAACCCGGAAGCCTTGTTTGATATTTGGTTGACGAAGTAGTCCTCGTCAATCTCCAGAAGCTTGGCTATCGATCGCAAGACGAGGTCTCTTATTTCCTTGGTTCTTGATGCGTACTCTTTTAGCACATCCCTGTAGAAAGACTCTAGAACAGTTTAGTCAAATAAAAGTTTTTGGTTCTTTTATTCAGTTTCTATAGTTGTCTTTGAATACCCTTTTTTAAGAGGGTAACGCCCCCGGAGTTTGGATATCTTTTAAATAAAGCAATTACTAATCAAGAAATTTCACAAAACTACACCGCGAGCAACAAAAGAACTACTACTACATCATTAAGAGAAGTTTACAGAAGTCTAAATTCACAAAGGAAAGTTGTGTCCTTTAAAAAAAAAAACTTACCCTAACTTCGTTATAAGAAATGGCATGATAACACGGGTCCACTAGCGAGAGAGACAGGCAATGCTACGAGACCATCGACTGGATCACAGAGTACTATTCTTTACACTGAGAGTTCCTGAAATTTCACCGTGCCTTCCTTTGCATTGCAACTAAAGCCAATACACTATTAGAACTGTGAAAAACATCACTCAAGGCAAGGGAGTAGGTAACCTGAAAGACTCCGGGTGACTGGGCCACTTGGCGAAATTCCTCTCGTCTTCCGGCTCCACTCTCAGATGCAGCCGGTCGCTCCAGTTGAGGACCTGATCCTCGGACACCACCTTGTCACTTCCATACCCTTCCACCTGGTAGTCCTTGCCGTTGCCGTCCACCAGGTTGCTGCATTTCTGCTTCTCCTCCGCCGGCTGCCGGAAGAACTCCCTCGACACGCTCATCATGGCGTCCATGAGAGAGCCCTCGATCCCATGGTTGGTGGCCTGGATGAGTGTTAAACAGTCTCAGCAGGAGTTCAGTAACTTTATGAGCTAATTGAGGTGCACGCATGCAGTTGCAGACGCTCGCTCACCAGGAAGAAGCCCCAGGTCTGCAGAGCCGCCCGGAGCCTCTCGGCCTCGTCGGCGTCCGTGAGCCGGCTAAGATCGATGAGGGGGATGGGCTCCGGAAACTCGTCGGCGGCCAGCAGGTCGCCGTGACGGTCTTGCTCCGGCAGCACGTACTGCCGCGGCGGCTCCTCGACGCCGGCCGATGCCAGCTCCTGCACCGTCGGCCGCACCATCGGCGACTCGTCGGACGCAGCCATTCTGCTCTTTGGTAAGTGTTTGTGTACTACTGCTCACTTGAAGTTGAAGATGGAGGGGCCGTTATGTATAGCCTCGAGTGTGCCTCGATATTCCTCTTCAAAATTTGTTTTAATCCTCCTCAAAGGAAAAAACGTGCCCCCAATCATTTTCTGGGCGACATCATGCATGACGCACTCGATGCGACTCTTCTTTGTCAGTCGCAATCGTATCATACTCCAGTCAAGATTGCCACTGAGCTACCCATAAATTTTCAGCTGTGTCATCCTCCAGTCAGACTGAGTACTACCAATAGCCTATTACTAGTATCTTGTATCTTGGGCCAACTGTTTCCGTGTTTTTCCTTTCGTTTCTCTCTTGTAACGATGATCACTTGATCTCCCTGTTCTCCCGCTGCTTTCTCCTAAATCAATGAAGCCGGTTACCCCGGATCTTTCAAAAAAAAAACAAAAAAACAATAGCACCAGTGGCCACCGGGCAGGCTGAGCTGTGAGTACTACTAATAGCCTATTATCTTGTAGTATCACATGATCAACAATAGCACCAGTGGCCACCGGGCAGGCTGAGCTGAATTGATGGGAAAAGGATTGACAAAAAATGGACCATTGTCCAGATTCACAGTGGCTGACAAGTCAAATTTGAGAAAGAATATTTTTGCGAAGCGACTGACAGTCTCCTGGCCCAATTCCAGTTGATTTCTGTTCATAATCAGGTTTTCTCGTGACTTCAGCACAATAATCATTTAGTAATCTTCAAGCCTAAAGGGATACCCGTTAATATCAGCAAGTAAGAGGATATTTACAATTTACAAGGAAAAACGTAACGCTGCGACAACGCTGCCATTCCAACAGATTAAAGTACTGCTACATGAAGATTGAGGAGCACAAAGATGGCGCATTCTAGAGTTTTAACTGCAGCAGCTAACTGACAAGCTACAGCTCAAAATACAGAACACCGAATCTTGCATATCTTGCCAAGCAGTGGAACAAGTGGAATAGGATGGAATAATCCTTCACCGATCTCAAAGCTGTCAGGGGGACATGAAACAACTTTAATTCTTCTTCATTTTGAAAGCACCAAGCTGGATTAGCCCCGCCCCGCGTCGCTCCTCTCGGGCGACTCGGGCGGCCCCAACCCTAGAGCGCCGCCGGCCCCCTTCCCCCTCCCTTCAGATCTCGCCGCCACCAGAGATAGCCGTCGGCAAGCCCGCGCAGCATCGAGAAAGGTGGCGGCGGGGCTGGCTGCTGCTGCCTCGCGCGGAGAGCTTGGTGTGCCGTGGTGGCGGCCCGGTCAAGGTGGGCGGCGCCTTCCCTGATGGAGGGTGGCTGCAGGGGTGTGGCGGTCTTCCTCGGCTTGCATGGGTGGCGAGGACCCGGTGGTGGGATCTCATGGCGGCCGTGATTTCCATCGGCCGGCCGCCAGATCTGGATCGACCTGCGCCGGCTTCATCTCCTTCACCTTATCCCGCTCGATCTGGGCTTCAGTGTGGCCTTGCTCGCCGAATCCGGGTGGTGGGCGGTGATTGGATGGTGGGGCTCTTGGGATTGGGGGAAACCCTTAGCCGGCGACGGCGGCCACGACGACGACTACGCCGCGGCGCCGATCCACTCCTTGGAGTCTTCGTTGAGATCCCGGCAGGGATGGCGGCAGCCCGTGCACGAGAGATGGAGGTCTTCGATCAGATTTGGGTGAAAACCTGCTATTGACTATTGCCAAGGCCGTCGATGGCGACGCTGTCTGCGTCATTCCCTTCTTGAAGGCATCGCCGTAGAGAAGTTCAAGGCCACTCTCTGCTACCTCCGGGGGAAACCCTAGATCAGTAGATCGGATGACGGCGGCTCTCTGGTGTCGTTTCCCCCTTGGTGGTGTCATTCTTGGAGGTGCACACGGGCTCGAGGGACCGGAGGACGGCGCCTTTGGTGGAGCGGTGCTTCATCTTCCACATTGATGGTGGCAGTTCTCGGTGCCGTGGCGCCGTGGAGACTCGGTGTTTGATGCGCGGAGATGGACTCGCGCAGGAGAAGGAAGCTGTCTAGCGTCATGGTGGCGTTGATGGCAGAGAGGCCTAGCAAGGTTGGTGCATCAGTTATGCTCTGAGGATGGACCAAGGAAAGATGGAGGTGACGGTCCTTGCAGCGTGCGGTGCTCACTAGGAGTGTGCCAAACCGGTGTGGGACCCAATCCAGGTAGTGGCTTGGATTGGACACCCGGCTTTAGATGTTAGGCTTCTGTGCGATGTCTATTTGGTATTAGGCTCGGACATTCGTAACGCCTTCATCAAGGGGATAGGAGTAGCAATGGTGTTTCCAAGATGGTGGTTTCAGGCTTACTAATGTATCACCTTCTAAGCTTTTTGTGAATAATTAATAATATGACTGCATACATTGTTCAGATGCAGAGACTGGGGTACATCCTCCTTCTCAAAAAAAATTAACCATGTAAAAGTTTTAACTGCGGCAGCTAACTGACAAACTACAACTCAAGATTCGGTGAAAGAGGCATGGCGCTGGCGCTCCTCTTTTACATATCGGTAAAACTTTATTCTACATAGGTAATCACTACTACAACTCCATGAACTAACATGTATAATCTATATCTTCAGGGTGTCGATGAATCTCTTCCCTTGACGAAAATGTTCATAGAGCCCAGCCACGAAATGCTTGGTCATCATTTTCCTATATCTTGGCGGTCGCTTGTCATCCAGCAAACCGGGTGCTGGCTCCAGCACTGTTTCTTCATCCACGACATAGAACACGGCCAGCGAAAGCCTCTCCTTCTCGGTGTTTGTCACCACTCTGTGAACCGGGCTCCTAAAGATTCCGTTGTTCATTATCTGCGTCAAAATTTCACATAGGAGTCAATGAAACATTAGGATTCAGGAAATAGGATATAACAATGATCATTATAGACCATTCAAGAGAGGAAGTGCGTATCTAGCTTGTATGTGTAGGTGCCTACCTCCAGGCAGTCTCCCAAGTTGATCACCAGTGTGTGAGGCTTGGCTGGAACATTGTACCATTTCCCATCTCTCTGAACTTGCAAGCCACCAACATCGTCGTCGACAAAAAGGATAGTAAGGAGATTTCCATCAGAGTGAGGCCTGAGGCCCAAAACTAGGTCAGGCCTTGGACGTGGAGGATAGTAGTAGAGTCTGGCAAACCCGGAAGCCTTGTTTGATATCTGGTTGACGAAGTAATCCTCATCAATCTCCAAGAGCTTGGCTATTTATCGCAAGACAATGTCTCTTAGTTTCTTGGTTTTCGATGCATACTCATTTAGCATATTCCTGCAGAAAGATTCTATAATAGTTTAGTCAAATCAAAGATTTTGGTCTCTTTATTAAGTTTCTATCTATGAATTGTCTCTGAATATCTTTTTTTTTGAAAAGAGGGTAATCACCCCCAGACCCTGAATCTCTTATAAAGAAAGTAATTAATCAATAAATTCACAAAACAACATCGAGAAAACTACGTCATTAAGAGAAGTTCTCAAAAGTCTGCATTCACAAAGGAAAATTGTATCAAAATTAGTTAACTTTCAGCCTTACTTAATTATAGGAAATGATATGGTAATACTGGCCCACTAGCAAGAGAGACGCGCAATGCTACGAGACAATTGACTACCCAGAGTGCAGTTTACATTGATACTTTTCTGGAATTCTCACTCTACCTTCCTTTACAACTAAGCTAATACAGTATTAGAAATGTGAAAAACATCACTCAAGGTAAGGGAGTAGGGAACCTGAAAGATTCCGGGTGACTGGGCCACTTAGCAAAATTCCTCTCATCTTCCGGCTCCACTCTTCAGATGCAACCGGTCGTTCCAGTTCAGGCCCTGATCCTCGGAAACCACTCTGTCACTGCCATACCCTTCCACCTGGTAATGCTTGTCGTTGCCGTCCACCAGGTTGCTGCATTTCTGCTTCTCTTCGGACGGTTGACGGAAAAACTCCCTTGACGCGGTCATCATTGCATCCATGAGAGAATCCTCGATCCCATGATTGGTGGCCTGGACAAGTTAAACAGTTTCAGTAAGAGTCCAATAACTTTACAAGCTAGTACTCCCTTCGTTACAAATATAAGATGTTTTGGATATTTCAATATGGACTACACTCGGCCTGAAATGGGTGAACAACCACACTAAAACATAAACATGCCTATATGTATCCAATTCACAAAAAGGTTAGAACATCTTATACTTGTGAACGGAGGGAAGAGTAATTAAGGTGCACACATGCACAGATGCTCGCTCACCAGGAAGAAGCCCCAGGTCTGTAGAGCCGCCCGGAGCTTGTCAGCCTCGTCGGCGTCCATGCCCCGGCTAAGGTCAATGAGAGGGATGTGCTCCGGCATTTTGTCAGCAGCCAGCAGGTCGCCATGACGGTCTTGCTCGTGCACTAAGTACCGGCTCGACGGCTCCTCGACGCCGGCCGAAGCCAGGTCTTGCACCATCGGCGTCTCGTCGGACTTTGTGGTGAACGTTTGGGTGAAAACATACCGTGCGTCCGGTAGAACCACTGATAGTGTTGTTTCTGCAAATCGAGACGTGCTTGTCGTGGAACCACTATGCGTGTGCTTTGTTTAAAAGCGTGCCATCGCTAGCTTCGCAAATTACTGTGCCCGTGCTTCACTATGAAACAATGAAACACAGACAGCCACGAACGTCCACGCCTTTTATATCGAATAATATACTTAACATCAAGAAAGAAGCGTGACGCAAGTCAATACGGAACCGTGTCCGTAGGTAGTTCACGTCCGTGCTTTTAAATACAAGGAAATAATATTTTAAATACAGCGTATCTGACACATAGGCTATTCCGATCCTCACAGAGTAAACGCCCGTGGCTGTTCCTGAGACAAAGGTTCAGCTCCGTGGGCTAAACATATACCATGCCTTTTGAACGCTTCAAAAACGGCGTCTCTCGAGTCTGCCGCTCATTGCCTCGCAATAAACGCATGACGGTGTGCCTAATACTAAAGTATGCCTCCATGGGCTTCTCGTCCGTGCCTCTCCGTCTGAACGAGTCGACTGAATTATTCGAAACACAAACACAACCGAGCATGACTCTATATAATACCACATGATGCCTTTGTGGATTTGATGCCTGTGCCTGCGAACCTAATGACTGAAACACATAGAGTCGCAAACGTACATAACCGTGGCTGCAGAGAATGCTAGCCCGTGCTTTTAGAAAACGCGCACCAGTGGTGACATCTGCAATTATGTCCTTGCACTGTGCCTAATCCTCGTTTTTTTCTAAGATCTTCTCCTCCTCCATTAAGCTGTTGTGTTTTTTGTACGTGCGCAGTGAAGACCTAACCTAAGTGTCTATCTCGTGTTCGGTTTGTGCAGTAAACGCTCGAACGTGACTCTGCGTAATACTGAAGTATGCCTCCATGGGCTTCTCGTCCGTGCCTCTCCGTCTAAACGAGCCAACGGAATAATCCGGAAAACAGATACATGCGAACATGACTCTATATAATACCACACGATGCCTTTGTGGATTTGACGGTAGTGTCTACGACCCTTATCACTAAAATACAGAAAGTCACAAACGCACATAACCGTGGCTGCAGAGACTTCAAGCCCGTGCAGCTAATGAAATGTACGGTTTGCGCAATAAACGCATGAACCTGATTTTGCCTAATATTAAAGTATGCCTTCATTGGCTTCTTGTCGTGCCTCTTCCAGATCCACCTCACCGAACAATGGTCGTAGGCGGCGCCACGGCAGCAATGGAGGTGGAGATGGAATGCGCTGCTCGCAGTACCAAAAGGTCCAGAGTGGCTCGATGCCGTAAATTTATGGTCAAAGTTGAAGCACGGGAATAAAAAAACACTATATTTTGGAACGAGGTTTGCTACACCTACGGGCAATTTCTATCGAGATGAGTTGGAGACCTAGGATTCATCACGATTTGGGTCCCACGACTAGTTTTATGGTGAGAAAATCAATGAGATTAGGCCATGCAATCGTGTAACTTGCCTCCGTAGTGGGATTCCCGTAAGCCTAGCATTTTTGGAGAACGGAGGGAGTAGTAGAGATAAGCGTTGCGCTGGAATCAGTTTCACTATAAAACAAAGAGATTTTTACATTTGTGCCCCTGGTTCCTTAGCTGTACTCATTCATCCCCACGCTCTTAACTTTTGCTCAATTCCCCCACTCCCTTGGTTGAAACTCTCACAAATGGGCAAACTGAACGTTGTTGTCAGGTCAATGGCTTGACCGTTAACTCTGACTAGTGGGGCCACGTAGGCGTGCATGTAACTGACCGCGGTCATGGGGTAGCACGTGTTCATGGAACATGTGTAGGACCTTGAGAAGAGGTGTCTAGAGGGGGGGGGGGGTGATTAGACACTAAGAGCCAAAGTTGCAATTTTTAAGATTCTTTAAAGTTTAAGTGGAGTTTAGGCACAAGTTTAACATTCACAACATATAGCAAGCAAGCATGCAAGAGTATATGAGCAGCGGAAAATAAAGCATGCAACTTGCAAGAATGTAAAGGGAAGGGATTGGAGGATTCAAACACAATTGAAGACACAGATGTTTTTGGCGTGGTTCCGATAGGTGGTGCTATCGTACATCCACGTTGATGGAGACTTCAACCCACGAAGGGTAATGGCTGCGCGAGTCCATGGAGGGCTCCACCCACGAAGGGTCCACGAAGAAGCAACCTTGTCTATCCCACCATGGCCGTCGCCCACGAAGGACTTGCCTCACTAGCGGTAGATCTTCACGAAGTAGGCGATCTCCTTGCCCTTACAAACTCCTTGGTTCAACTCCACAATCTTGTCGGAGGCTCCCAAGTGACACCTAGCCAATCTAGGAGACACCACTCTCCAAGAAGTAACAAATGGTGCATTGATGATGAACTCCTTGCTCTTGTGCTTCAAATGATAGTCTCCCCAACACTCAACTCTCTCTCATAGGTTTTGGATCTAGTGGAGAGAAGATTTGAGTGGAAAGCAACTTGGGGAAGGCTAGAGATCAAGATTCATATGGTAGGAATGGAATATCTTGGCCTCAACACATGAGTAGGTAGTTCTCTCTCAGAAATAGGATGCTGGAAGTGTAGGTTCAGTCTGATGGCTCTCTCCACGAATGAATAGGAGGTGGAGGGGTATATATAGCCTCCACACAAAATCTAACCGTTACACACAATCTACCAAACTCGGTGGGACCGAATTGTTAAACTCGGTCAGACCAATTTAGCAAATAATGTGACCGTTAGGGTTTTCGGTGGGACCAAAATGCAACTCGGTGAGACCGATTCGGTTAGGGTTAGGGCATAACGTAATCTTGGTAAGACCGATTACACAAACTCGGTGAGACCGATTTTGGTAATTAGCTTTCCAGAGAGTTGGTCAGGCAAACTCGGTTGGACCGATTATCAAACTCGGTGGGACCAATTTTGATAATAAGTCAACCAGAAAGTTTGCATTGTAATCTCGGTAGTACCGATTCCTCAAACTCGGTGAGACCGATTTTGATAATGGACATACACAGAGAGATTACAATCCCATCTCGGTGAGGCCGAGATCCCTATCGGTGAGACCGATTTGCCTAGGGTTTGTGGCAGTGGCTAAGACATCAAAACTCGGTGGCGCCGGATAGGAAGAATCAGTGGGGCCGAGTTCGACTTTAGGTTTTAGGTCATTTGTGTGGAAATGGGAAAGTAGTTGAGGGTTTTTGGAGCATATCACTAAGCACTTTGAAGCAAGAGGCTCATTAAGCAACACCTCATCCCTCCTTGATAATATTGGCTTTTCCTATATACTCAATGTGATCTTGGATCACTAAAATGTAAAATGAAGAGTCTTGAGCTTGAAGCTTGAGCCAATCATTTGTCCTTAGCATCTTGAAGGAGTTCCCACATCCTTTAGTCCATGCCACTCCATTGTTGAACTTGTCTGAAATGTACTAGGTAAAAGTGTTAGTCCAACAAGAGATATGTTGACATTAATTACGAAAACCACCTAGGGAGCACTTGTGCTTTCAATCTCCCCCTTTTTGGTAATTGATGGCAACATACATCAAAGCTTTAGATAAAGATATAAAGAATAGCAAGTAAAGCTTTGGAAAGACA